AGTTTTGTGTGTGTGTGTATAAGTGTGTGTGCGTGTGTGTGTGTATAAGTGTGTGTGTGTGTGTGTGTGTGTGTGTATAAGCGTGTGAGTGTGTGTGAGTGTGTGCGTGCATGTGAGTGTGTGTTCAGAGGAATCCTGGGCGTGTGAGAGCTCGTCCTCCGTCATGAAAGACCCTTTAACGGCGTCACAGCTGAGCTTTGAACCTCACAATAACCCAAACCCTGCAGCAGCACAGTCTGACTGAAGACACACAGACAGTCACGCATGCCATGCTCTTCAAACAGTCTCTGTACATCAGTGGTTTTGAAGTGGTTTTTAGCGCAGTCTTGAGTGAACTTCATCAGTTATTAAAGCATCTCTGTTCTGCACCGGTGTTATTTTCTAGCATTTGAGATGATGTTAGTTTTTCAAAAATGTATTAGTTTATATTTTTCATTTTAGTAAAAGTTTTGGCAATTTTCTCGAGTGTTATAGTCATTTTGATTAATTTCTAATGCATTTTATTAATATAGTTTGATTTTATTTCTGTTTTAGTTATTGTTTAATAAAAGTAAAAATTAATTTACATAAATTCACATTTATTTATTATTATTTAGCTATTTTTTCCTTGCATGTTTGAGTCAACCATCTCATTTATTTATTTGTTTGTTTGTTTATGCTTTCTCTTGCATTTCTGTATCAATTTCTATATCTCTATTTATTTATTAATCCATCCATCCATCTATCTATCTATCTATTTTTCCATCCATCCATCCATCCATCCATCCATCCATCTTTCCAATCTATCCGTCTATCATCCATCCATTATCCATATTTCCATCTATCCATCTTTCATCTATCATCCATCCATCCATCCATCCATCCATCTTTCCATCTATCCGTCTATCATCTATCCATTATCCATATTTCCATATTTCCATCTATCATCCATCCATCCATCCATCCATCTATCATCCATCCATCCATCTATTATCAATCCATCCATCTGTCATCAATCCATCCATCTGCCATCCATCCATCCATCTGTCTATCCATCCGTCCATCCATCCATCCATCCATCCATCCATCATCTTTTCCCATCTATCCATCTATCATCCATCCGTCTTTCCATCCATCTTTCCATCTGTCTTTCCATCCATCTTTCCATCCATCTTTCCATCCATCTATCATCCATCCATCTTTCCATCCATCCGTCTATCCATCTATCATCCATCCATCTTTCCATCCATCTTCTCATCCGTCTTTCCATCCATCTTTCCATCCATCTATCTATCCCGTCTAAATTAATTAATTTATCAATGATTTATTTCTCATTTATTCATTTATTAATGAATTAAATTATTTTCTTTAAATTAATTTATTAATTTATTCATTCATTCATTTAGCATTTTTTCCTTGCATTTTTGCATCAATCGCCGTCATCTAGTTATTTATTTATTTATTCAGCTATATTTTCCATTGCATGTTTGAGTCAATCTCTCTCTCTCTGATTTATTAATTCCTAATTAACTTATTTAGTTATGTATTTAATATTTAACAGTTTTTCTCCTGCATGTTTGAGTCCATCTGCATTTCTCATTTATTTAATAATGAAATTAACTTCATTTATTTGTTTGTTAGTATTATCCCTATTGCTTGTTTACGTCAGACATTGTGATTGTAGTTTTAATGGCTTTAATGCAATGAATAGTAAACACATCTGTAGTCACATGCAGTTTTAGAGAATAAACTGGTGTCTGGCGAGGGTTAATTCTGTGATTGTGGATGCTGTGCAGAAAATAGCAGTGGTGTGAATTACAAATGCCAGCAGATGATCCAGATTAATTTACAGCTCATGATTACTGCTAATATCAACGCTGACAGAGTGAATGAATCTGATCATCTGAGCCCTGTTTTTCAGTGACTGGGGCGAATCTGACCCGTATTTCCAACACCTTGTCGTCCCTTTTCCATCCGAGCGGGAAAGAGCCGCTAAAGAGCTTAGCGAGAGGTTCAAATCCACCTTACATAAGTGCAGCATCACATGATTGTGTTGTTGGTAAATGCTTGAGCTGTAATAACACATCTGAGCGTCTGTAATCATATGCTGACGGTTTTAGCAGTGAAATGGTCCAGGTGTGTTTGGCTTGACGTGCCCTCATTCACCCCAGACCCGCTTTACGACTAAACCTAACAGATAATAACAACTGAAGAACATCAGATGTACACACAGATATACTGATGTGCTTTTTACACATAAACAGCCCCAAAAGTTATTTTTTGCTTTTATAGAGGGTTTATTATTGAAAAATAAATATCATATTTTACATATTTATCATTTTTTGTAAAACTGTTTATTTTAAAATTTTAAATATTTGTGTATATATTTTAAGTATTTATTTACATATGTAGTTAAATCTTTTTTAATATTTAAATAACCATCTGTAAAAGCAAGAACGGTTATTAAAATACTCTAAATATTTGTCTAAAAATGTGAAATATTTATGTTAATATTTATTTACTTTTAAAAATATATATTTATGTATATTTTTTTATTATTATTTTATTATTATTTCAGTTTTAGTTTAATTAACTAATTTCAGTTCTAGCCACATTTCTAATTTTCATTTACTTTGTTTGACATCTCCACTTATAATTAATATAATATGTTATATTTTACTTATACTGTACACTAGTCAACATTTGAAGTGGATCAAAACCTTTCATCAAAGTTGTCCTAAAACCAAAATGCGTTCTTGTCTTAGGACAACTTCAAATATTAACTACTGTATACTAATAAATACTAGTATTTATACCAGTACTAATATTGTTCTTCAGCTTTCTCTCTAATGTTTTAATAGTTAGGTACTGTTGTACATGTCCAGTGGTTTGATGGCGCTTCATTGATGTCTGCAGAAGCGCGTCCTCGCCGTCTCCTGCTGCCTGCTGCTAAAGTCAAACACCGGACCGACCCGGCCGAGGAGAACGATGCCGACGACGAGGGCGAGATCTGGTACAACCCCATCCCGGAGGATGAAGAGGCCGATCTGCCGCGCTGCGTTCCCGTCATCAGAGTCCAGACGAGACAAGCGGACGCAGACGAGAGACAGACGCAGGACGAGAGCAGAGCCACAGGTAGAGCTTTAGCAGTTTCAGATCAAGCGGCAACCTCCCGGTCTCTCTCGTGAAACCAACACGAAAGTGACAAACTGCAATTCATCGACTGGCCGCTAGAGGCGGGCTGCAAAAGGGAGTCAGTTCCATAGACGCCCAGTGTTAAAATGCCCGACTTCACAGCAGAAAAAAATATGTTTACAGCCTGGTACAAAAAGTGGTTTTGGTCTGTATAGCTAATTTTGCTCTTCGTGACAACTGTGAGGGGGGTGATTTTTTTTATAACTCATCCGTTTAAATTATATCAAGCCTTAAAGTTCTGCATAATTAAGGGCATGGCCACTTGAGTGACAGGTGGATTGCCGCTGCTGTCACCACCGTTGAGGTAGGTGGGCGTGGCTTCAGCAACCTGCTCCCGCCTCTTTGCCCATTTTCGATTATCCGGGAGTGACGTGCGGTGACGCGCTGCCAAGATGGAGACGGCTGGCTCCGCCCACTTTGAGCTTCAAAAACGCTCTTCGGAAACCTACGGGTGACGTCACGGACACTACGTCCATGTTTTTATACAGTCTATGTTTCAGATGCGCTTCATGTTCAGCGGACTACTGGGATAACGAACCTTTCTGGAAAATAATTATTCATATCTGTGTAAGGGTTGTGAGGATTTACATTATAAAACGTTGGATAAATGAAGACACTTTCTAGTATGAAAAATTCAATTGTGATCTTTCTGATTAAAAACGTCATTTGCGATTAAAAATGTGATTTAAAAAAAAAACTCCACGTGTGCTGCGCTGAAAAAAATTATAATGTAGGATTTAATCATTAAACATTTGACATTCAAAAATTGCTAGTAAATTTCACAAATAATTACAAGGAAATGGCAAAGTAACTCATCTTTTTAAAAATTTAAAAATTTAAATTTTTTTACAATGCATGCTTTTTGTAAGGCTTCACAGTTTGGCCCAGAAATTTGTGACTATATATCAAAAATACTATAATAATAATAATAATTATTATTATTATAATAATAACATATTATTATTATTTAATTATATTACTAAAATGAGAAATAATACTTTAATAAAATAATTTAAAGTGAAATGACTGTAAAATAATTTAAAGAAAAAAATAATTATTTAATTATATTTCTAAAATGAGAAATATTACTTTAATAATATTTGACTGTAAAATAATTTAAAGAAAAAAATATAATAATAATAATAATAACATTTTTTATTATTTAATTATATTACTAAAATGAGAAATAATACTTTAGTAAAATAATTTAAAGTGAAATGACTGTAAAATAATTTAAAGAAAAAAATAATTATTTAATTATATTTCTAAAATGAGAAATATTACTTTAATAATATTTGACTGTAAAATAATTTAAAGAAAAAATATAATAATAATAATAATAATAATTTTATTTTAAACGTTGAACAAGTATTCTTAAATGTGATTTTTTTTTAAGCAAAAAGACCTAAAGAGTATTTTCTTGTAAAATTTGCTCCAAAAATAAAATACATAAACAAATAAATAAACATTTTGTACAATTTTTGCTTGTTTGTAAGGCTGCACAGTTTGGCCCCAGTAAAGTATTAAAACAAATAAGACATGTAAAGAAAAAAATATAAAAATAATATAATTAAACATAATAATAATAATAATAGTTGTAGTAGTTCTATGTATTTTTAATTTTTTTTTACAGAATGACAGTAAAATTGTAATACTAATATTTCTACCCTTAATGATTTAGTTTCCTAATTTTCAAATGTTAAGCCGCTTTTATTTTGATGGAAAACCAAGCGCTTCTTATACAATTTGTGAAGACGTTTGGTGCATATTGCATTTTCAGATGCATGCATAAAACAATTCAAATACAAGCACCGGATCATGAGCTGCTCGCGTGTAAATGAACACAGTGCCGCGATTCACTCTCAAACACATATTGAAAAATCACGCCATGTTGTGATTTTAGTTTTATGTGTATAATGGTCTTCGGGGTTGTATCATATCCTCTCTGGCTCTCTGGACTCTCGCAGCTCTGTGTTTAGCGTCGTATGAATGTGTGGCATTATTCACTAATGCAGTCATGCCTATTAAAGACTTCTGTCAGCGAGCTAGTGAAGCTGTCAGCGTAGCGCTTCTCTGGAGGCTACGAACACGTCTTTGAGTTCATGTCTGTTAGCGGTTGTGAGCGCCGGCTCTGTTTGTGTGACTAGCGGTCGTTTGATGTGGTGACATTAGTTTAGCTGATGAACCTGTAATTAAGCTCTATGCTAAATTAATGCTAAACGTTCTTATTTTCCTTATGTTTAAATTGAAGCACTAAAATTAATAACTAAATAAAAACTGAACTAAAACTAAAATGCTGCAGTGAAAATAAATGAAACTCGTAATATTTAAAATAAACAAAAACGAATAAAAAAATACAAAAGTGCGTTACTAAAAAAAACAAAGTATAAAATTAAAAGCAATTAAAAAAAAAAAGAAAATAATACTATAATAAAACATTTGTGTTAACTGAAATATAAATATTAGAAGACAAACCTAAACTTATTATGGTCAGTTGGCAACATTTCTAATTTTCGTCTAGTTTAGGTTAAATTAAAAACTAAATCTGAATTTAAATTAAAATACTGAAATAAAAATAAATTAAACCTTAATGTTAATATTTGAAATTAAAACTAATAAAAATGACAAATGCACATAACACAATTACTATAAATTTGACTGAAATTAAAAACTATCAAATTAAAAGCGATATATATATAGTATTAGTATATAAATAACAGTTCAAGCACATTGTCATTTGTTGCGTAATGCACATTTTGGCAAATGTAGCAGCTCATCCAGGTATCCGATGCATACTGTGGGAACTCACTTTACAAAAGAAAAATTGGCTGTTTTATGTCTTCAAAGGTCATTGTTGTGACTTTTCAGTGTGTTGATGTGAAGTTCTTCAGCGCGTTGGTTGAGCTTCTGCCACGTTTGTGTGTGTGAGAAGCGTGTGTGTGTGTGTGTGTGTGTGTGTGTGTGTGTGTGTGTGAGAGAGAGTGTATGTGTGTGTGTGTGTGTGTGTTTTAGGCTCTGTTCTGAATGCTGTGTTGTGTTCCATTCCGGAACTTTCCTCGTGTGCTGTTGACTTTAGCTCCCGGCTGCATGTGCGTCCCAACACCCCTCCGAAACATGAGCCACACAAACTGAGTCACGCTCGCCTTTTACATTAGTGATGACATGGAGAAGGTAAAATTACCCACAATCCCGTGGGTGGCAGGTAACCGGATCTGAGTGTGGCGTTGCGAAAGGCAGCCGTCCACCCTGACCTTGTGTGTGTGTGTGTGTGTGTGTGCGTGTGTGTGTGTGTGCGTGTGCGCGTGTGTGTGTGTGTGTGTGTGTGTGAGTGTGCGTGTGTGTGTGTGTGCGTGTGCGCGTGTGTGTGTGTGTGTGTGTGTGTGAGCGCGTGTGTGTGTGTGTGTGTGTGAGTGTGCGTGTGTGTGTGTGTGCGTGTGCGCGTGTGTGTGTGTGTGTGTGTGTGTGCGTGTGTGTGTGTGTGCGTGTGCGCGTGTGTGTGTTTGTGTGGGTGCGCATGTTTGTGTATGTGTGTGTGTGCGCATTTTTGTGTGTGTGTGTTTGTGTGCGCGTGCGCGCGTGCGTGTGTGTGTGTGTGTGTGTGCGCGAGTGAGTGTGTTTGTGTGTGTGTGTGTGTGTGTGTGTGTGTGTGCGAGTGAGTGTGTTTGTTGTGTGTGTGAGTCTGGGTTGTGAAATGTTCAGAACTGAATTTGCAGTGGCTTTGAAAGTTCAAAGTAATTCCTGAATTTGAATTGTAACATGATGCAGAACTGTCTTTCTAACTTGAGTTTAAATAAGTTACATTTAAATGGAATGAAATTAAAATATATTAATGTAACTGCTTTCAGTGTAGTTTACATTTACAGTTTAACTATACTTGACCCGAATATAAGACAATGTTTTTTTCTTGGAAATGCATCTGAATAAACGCGGTGGTCTTATATTCAGGGTCTAGACTTCGACGTGTCAATAATACACACACAACAATAGGTGGCGCCAAATAAGCATAAAACCAGTGTGTCGTGAAATACGTAATGTAGTGCGTGTTGTAAAGATCGCGAGTGAAAACAAGAGAAGCAGATGCATGAGTCGTGACTGTCACGTTAGCCTGATGGCACCAAACTCTCTGTGATTTTTAAACGTAAGACAGTACCCAGATTTGAAGAATACAGTAAGTGTGAGTGAGTGTGTGTGAGAGAGTGTGTGTGTGTGTGTGTGTGTGAGTGTGAGTGTGAGTGTGTGTGTGTGTGTAACAGAGCTCTGTTCTGTGGTTCTAAATGAAGCTCTTGAATCATTTAGAGAGCAGATCTGTGATCAATTCAACACACAGTCCATTACGTCAGACTTCACGATCTCAGATAAATGCTCCAGTTTTCTCTCTGTCACTAATGGCATACACTAATGGTATGTGTGTGTGTGTGTGTGTGGCAGATTTAAGGCTGTAAAATGTCTTCTGACACTCTATAATTAGTGTGACTAGTGACCAGATCGGCCCACTCACCACCTGTCACAATCAAAAATGTAAAATAAACGCACACACAGTCAGTGAGTGTTATCAACAAAATAAAATTCTGCAAGTTACAGTATGTTAATAGAATTAGATTTTTTTATGATATAAATCCTTTTAATAAATCTAGTGTTTTGATTAGAGATGCTGTATTCTGAGTGGATGAGAGCAGGGGTGTGTGTGTTTTGGAATGCAACCTTGCCTTCTAATCTGGGCCCCTGAGACTCTGTTCGTGTGTGTTTGTGTGTGTGTGTGTGTTTGTGTGAGAGTGTGTGTGTGTGAGAGTATGAATGTGAGTGTGTGTTTGTGTGTGTGTGTGTGTTTGTGTGTGTGTGAGAGTATGAGTGTGAATGTGAGTGTGTGTGTGTTTGTGTGAGAGTGTGTGTGTGTGTGTGTGTGTGTGTGTGTGAGAGTATGAATGTGAGTGTGTGTGTGTGGATGTGAGGCTTCACATATTTACATCTAGGTTTTCAGTTGCATGTAGGGATTTATGCTGTTAAATTAGTTAGAAAAACTAGTTAAAAACTATAATTGCGTTAATTAATCAGGATTGATTATTGTGCTTTTGCATACACTAAAAGTTTGGAATTTTTAAGATTTGCTCATGTTTTTGAATGAAGTCTCATATGCGCAATAAAGGCTACACTTATTTGCTCAAAAATACAGTAAAAACGTGAAATATTATTGCAATTCAAAATAGTTGTTTTCTATGTGATTAAAAATGTATTTTATTGCTGTGATTAAAGCTGAATTTTCAGCATCATTACTCCAGTCTTCAGTGTCACATAATCCTTCAGAAATCATTCTAATATGCATATTTGCTGCTCAAGAAATATTTTTGATTATTATCAATGTTGAAAACAGTTGCTCTGGCGAATATTTTAATATCCCTAAAATTACCTCTTGTAAGAAATCAAATTATCTTTCAGATCTTATTCACACTTTGCATTTAGTTTGTATGGACTATTTGTATATTTACTTATATGTAAGTGGCATTGGATTAGATTGTGAAAAGTGGACTATGATATTATTGGTTAACATTATTTTTCTCCGCCCACATGGCCTTGGTGACATCAGCCGAATGGAATGTCATTTCAGAGACAAAAAAAAAGTTGAAAATATAATTTTCTTCAGAATAACATGCATTGATAAACAACAAACTAGGTAAATGCACGCTGTTTAGTTAAGCCTTCATATTGTGCAAATGGATTTAGCGAGCCTTTCCGACTCGGTTTAGTCTGACAGACGTTAGAGAGGTTGAGTCCTGACGTACTCCAAAACAAACAAAAGAAATATGAGTAAATGAAAACAAAATCTTAATATTTCAGTGAACTGTTCTTTTAAAAAGACACACACACACTTGCAATGCCAAAGTGCCCCATCTCCTCCACATCAATCTTTCTCAAAACAGTCTTTCTCTTTCTCCTTGCCTCCCTCTTTTTTGGTCTCTTCACACTGGCATGTCTCTCTCTCTCTTTAACAGAATCGGGCCTTTGTTTTATCTTGGCGGGTAAGTACCAGATCAAACGGCGGGTGTTGAAGGAGGTCCTGAACTGTGGCAACAGAGCCGCTGTTGTAGTAAAGCAGATGAACGTGCCATGTGATCAGAGAGAAAGAGAGGGCGAGGTAGAGGAAGGAGACCGATCTGGGTTGCATGTTCAAGAAATCTGATTTGTCAGCCACTGCATAATGACTGCGGTAACACGCTGCGGAGATAACTGCATCCCAGGTCCAGAAGTCTCTCGTAAAAGGACATCTACTAATCGAGAGAACAAGAGCAAATTATGCTGAGGCTGATGGAGCAATTTAACCACAGCGCTCTTGGCCAATGGAAGGTCTGGTTTATCACTCCACTCTGGAATGTTACACAGATGTTCTTTGTTTTTGATGTGTGTGACTGAGCTGGAAAGGGACTTTTTGGGATATATGTAGTTATTATGGCATGTATGTGCATAGAGCAAAGGGGAATCATGTGGACTAAACAGGAGCGAACAGGCCAGAGGCAATAGGAAAGAATTATGGATAATGGGTAAAATTACAAGTCTACAAGAGTTTTGGTTAGGTAAAGGAATAATTGATGACATGTTTTTAAAGAACTGAAGATATAAGAAGTGTTGAACTGTCACACCTTGGACATACGTTAATTATTCTGCTTATTATTATTTCCATGTGTACATGTTTACAACATGTGACATTTTTTAAGTCCTTAAAGCACTCTTGTTTGTAAATCTTTCACCAATTAAGTATCTTGCTTTGAATATTCCAAACCACTGTTACTTTTTGGAAAGATTTTGGCTTGAAACCTTGAAGCATCTATCAACTAATCCAAATGAGGAATTTAGTAATCTTGTGGTATAAGATTCACTTAAAACATATACCCACAAATGGTATTGAGTTCATCTAAGGGTCAGCTAAGACCTGGGGGTCAATGACTTGGTCAATGTACTAATTAAACCCTCCTCTTTCATTCCACAGATCCTTCAGAGCAGTCCACTGGTAGACTTTCTCCCTCTTCTAGTCCCAACCCAGCTAAAAGGAGCACTACTATCAACTGGTCTTTTCCTGATAAAATCAAGTCACCACGGACTGTCCGAAAACTCTCTATGAAGATGAAGAAACTGCCTGATCTGAGTCGGAAGCTTAGTGTTAAAGGGAACCCATCTAGCAATGTGGTTATCAGCAACAGCCAATCAGAACCCAGGGCTCACTCACCAAAAGTTAATGGGATGGCAGAGCTGGGCCAGTCCCAGTCCAGACTGTCCCCAGCAGGTGTGACGACTGCATTGGCAAGTGGTAATGTGATTTGGTGGTACCATTTGGACAGCAGTGTTTCTACGCAGCACAACTTCGATAAGAGGAGGAGCAATAGCGGTGGCGTGCCCAAATCGGCCAGTAAGGGAGGTTACCTAAGCGATGGAGACTCACCCGAACTTGTCGCCAAGTCAGGAAAGCACGGAAACTCAGAAAGAAAGACCGGTAAAGCCCGGGACAGGGATCCCAATGGGAACGGTGGAAGTCCGAGGCTCCCTGGCACGGAGCTGGATATCGATGCCTTCCGTTCATACAGTTTCTCTGAGCAGCCAAAGTGCCTAACGCACATCTCTGGACTAATGAGTCTGCACTTCTATGGCGCAGAGGACCTGAAGCCACCACGGGTTGATTCCCGTGACGTCTACTGCGCTATCCAGGTGGACTCGGTCAACAAAGCTCGCACGGCCTTGCTGACCTGTCGGACAGCCTTCCTGGACATGGACCACACCTTCAACATTGAGCTGGAGAACGCTCAGCACCTCAAACTTGTTGTTTTCAGTTGGGAGTCCACACCAAGAAGGAACAGGGTGTGTTGCCATGGGACTGTGGTTCTCCCGGCCTTGTTTCGTGTGAGTAAGACACATCAGCTTGTGGTCCGCCTGGAACCACGTGGAATGATCTACGTGAAGCTGAGCCTCATGGAGCAGAGGCAGAACTCTCTTGATGGCCAGGATCATGAAATGCAGGTGTTTGGTGTAGAGGCTTGGCGCGTGGTGGAACGGGAAGCTTCTGGATTAATGGTTCCACTGCTCATCGAGAAATGCATCTCTGAGATCGAGAGGAGGGGTTGTCAGGTGAGTAAGTAGAGCAGATCTTTATAGTTCTTTAACCTGCATGCTGTTCCAGACTTAATCTCTAATTTAAGGTGAAGTGTGTAATGTCAAAGTACTTCTATTCACGTTTAATGCAATTATATGTAAGCCATTAGCAAGTGACTTTCCTGGTGTGAATACACCCTCAGAGTTTGAGACATTGACTTTCTGAAGAGTGTAACACTGGTTCACCTTCAAAAGAGTCCTAGAAGAGTTTGAGACTTTGGCTTTCTGAAGAGTGTAACACTGGTTCACCTTCAAAAGAGTCCTAGAAGAGTTTGAGACATTGACTTTCTGAAGAGTGTCACACTTGTTCACCTTCAAAAGAGTCCTAGAAGAGTTTGAGACTTTGGCTTTCTGAAGAGTGTAACACTGGTTCACCTTCAAAAGAATCCTAGAAGGGGACTTTGGCTTTCTGAAGAGTGTAACACTGGTTCACCTTCAAAAGAGTCCTAGAAGAGTTTGAGACTTTGGCTTTCTGAAGAGTGTCACACTGGTTCACCTTCAAAAGAGTCCTAGAAGAGTTTAAGACATTGACTTTCTGAATGGTGTCGCACTGTGGCACCTTCAAAATAGTCCTAGAAGAGTTTGAGACATTGGCTTTCTGAAGAGTGTCACTTAAGTTCACCTTCAAAAGAGTCCTAGAAGTGTTTGAGACATTAACTTTCTGATAGGTGTCACAATGGTTCACCTTCAAAAGAGTCCTAGAAGAGTTTGAGATGGGACTACCTTTGATGGGTCAGAAAGAGCAGTAAGAATGTTTGAGAAACTTGCTTGGTATTTTGCAGTTGTAATTGGTCCTACTAGTTGCCCAGAAATTACGCATTTAGCCTTAAAGTGTATCTCCATGGCTACGTTCAGACTGCAAGCCCAAAAGTGGCCCAAATACAATTTATACTCGTATGCGAGCAGTGTGAACAGCACAAACCACATGGAAATCTGATCGTTCCAATTCAGGTTTGGGCCACTTCCATATGTCATCCTAAGTCCAATGTTTTGCAATGCGACCTCAGTCTGAACAGTCATATCAGAATTCTTGGTACTTTTTATGTCACTTTGGATGACGGGAGTCACTCCAGAGGTTTTACATACCAGTAGTTCCTTGGTTACTCAGTTAATATGGAAGACAGCTGCGAAGGTAGTCGGTGGAGGGACAGTGTGGTACGCATAAGTATTATGATGACAGCTCTCTACATGCAAAACTAGAGGGAAAACTGTATGGGAATAGCTTTGCTCGCTTCCTCCTCATCCTTGTCTGGCTTCCATGCCACATCAAAACAAATATGTGTAAACGCTGACTTCAGTGGCCTCCAGGTTTACCTCTGTATGACAGCCTGCTGCATGCCGCCTTTGTTGTTCTTTTGGACCGTTGCCAGTTTACACTTAAGTCTGATATTGATATTAAATAATGTGAATAGTCGGATCTGAGCAATAAATTAAAACTGAGCACAAAGGCTTGGATAAGGCTTGGCGTGTAAACGTAGCCCATGAGTCTCTTCTGTCATTCGTTAGGCTTCGGTTAAAGTGAGCTCACCAACCGTTCTAAAGTCCTTGTCCATGGACATTGCACACTCACACAAACAAGCCTAGCAAGGCCTCTCGGTGGTTTGTGTGCACAGGCATATTGCCAAAATCCTAGCCATTCATCTCCGTTATACACACACACAATCTGTCTCTGTTACAGTGTCACCCAGAGTTTAATGCTGTTCTTGACCATTCATCCCACCAAGTGTGTCTGCCGTCAACCCACAAAACAACTCTGACTGCTTTTCTCAGATCAGATTTACCCCTGCAGCTCAATACTCACACATGGAAGATCTGATTTTAGATCAGTTGAGAGAGACGTTCAGCCCCTATCGGTGTAAAAAAAAAAGCTTGTAGGTCCTTTGGGAAGGCTTTAAAGTTCTGCTGGGATCATGAGGGTGTTTCTCTCAATCTGTCTTTTGCTGTTTTTACCTCAGCTGACTCCACTTTTTGGAGTGTTGTCAGCCTCTGAATCGGCAGCTCAAGCCCATATATCTGATGCTTATATCCGCATATCAAATTTAGCATGGTTTTTCTTATTCATGTGCTGCTCCCAAGTTGCATTGCTGTGCAGTCATCACTTTTTTGAGATGATGCAACCTAGCCAGGTCATGTGGCGACAGTGTAACATACTATTTCACATATTATTTTAAGTTAGCATGCAGTATGTATAAAATACAGTGCAGCTTTCTGTATTTAAAAGTCATTAGTCAATAAGATAGTACAAGTATTCACTCAATGCAGTGAGGTCATGTGACAAGTACAGCATACTGACTATTGCATACCTCATACTATTGAATAGTTTTTCAACATTTTTCATCACTTTCATTTATCTCTAGACAGGGTCCACATTTCACTTTTTCTCAATTGTGAGACTTTTTAGACTTTTTACCAATGGTGAATGAGATATTTTAGCAAACATTTCCATCTGTATTTTGCATGATTTTTATTGAAACAATAATTATTATTACTTAAAACACTGTACTTAAGTAATGTATTGATTTATTATTATTATTATCATTATATTTTCATAGAAATATGCAACATACAGATAAACATATGTTAAAATAGTATCTCATAATAATAATAGTTTTTGCAGATTAATAAATTGAAATATTAAAAATAAAATAATTAATTATTATTATTATTAATAATAATGAATCGATGATGATTATGGTTATTTTGTTTTAATAATTAATTTACATTTATTATTATTATTATTATTATTATTGTATTATTACTATAGTATTTTAATAAAAATATGCAACATGCAGATAAAAATGTGAAAAAATTACCATTTCTCAATAATAATAAAAATATGAACAAATTTATAATTAAATCAAATGTTATTATTATGATGATTGTTATTATTTAGTATTATGTTTGATGATGATGATTGATTATTTATTATTTTTATTATTATATTTTAATAAAATATGCAACATACAGATGTACATACAAAAAGTGTGCTAAAATTTCTCAATAGTAATAATAATAATACTCAGAAATTAATAGTTATTAAATCAAATATTATTATTGTTGTTATTATGATTATTATCATTATTGTTGTACTTTATAAATAAATAAAAAATATTTCCTGCACTCACTCTATATATGCGTGCGTGCGTGCGTGCGTGCGTGCGTGAGAAGTGTGTGTGTGTGTGTGTGCGTGAGAAGTGTGTGTGTGCGTGAGAAGTGTGTGTGTGTGTGTGCGTGAGAAGTGTGTGTGTGTGTGTGGGCGTGCACATTGTTTTTTTTACTAACCATAACAATTAGAGATGTTTCCTCCTAATTACTACAATGGTGATGTTAACGTCAGCATTGCATGATGGTTATAGGTGTTATTGATTAGTGATGATGTTGTGAGGTTCTCTGAAGGTTGTATAAGGGTTGTGTGTGTGTGATTGACAGGTGGTGGGTCTGTATCGTCTGTGCGGTTCGGCTGCGGTGAAGAAGGAGCTGCGGGAAGCGTTTGAGAGGGACAGTCACGTCGTCGAGCTCTCGGAAAACAACTACCCAGATATTAACGTCATTACAGGTACTGCATATCAGCATTTACACACACACACGATACATTCACACACGTTTACTGAGATTTACACTCCACTAAAACCATTTACCTTGAGGCCTAGTTTGAGAGTATTAAGAAATGTGAATGAACCTGTGTGTGTGTGTCTCCGTGTGTGTGTGTGTGTGTGTGTCTCCGTGTGTGTGTGTGTCTCCGCATGTGTCTCTGTGTGTGTGTCTTTGCATGTGTCTGTGTGTGTGTGTGTGTGTGTGTGTGTGTCTCCGCATGTGTCTCTTGTGTGTGTCTCTGCATGTGTGTGTGTGTGTGTGTGTGTGTGTCTCCGCATGTGTCTCTTGTGTGTGTGTCTCTGTGTGTGTCTGTGTGTGTGTGTGTGTGTGTGTGTGTGTCTGTTGTGGGGGTCTGTGTGTGTGTGTGTGTGTGTGTGTGTGTCTGTTGTGGGGGTCTGTGTGTGTGTGTGTGTGTGTGTGTGTGTCTGTTGTGGGGGTCTGTGTGTGTGTGTGTGTGTGTGTGTGTGTCTGTTGTGGGGGTCTGTGTGTGTGTGTGTGTGTGTGTGTGTGTCTGTTGTGGGGGTCTGTGTGTGTGTGTGTGTGTGTGTGTGTGTCTGTTGTGGGGGTCTGTGTGTGTGTGTGTGTGTGTGTGTGTGTGTGAGTTTGTGAGTCTTGACTGTGTCATACGGCCTTTGTGAATGAGATTAACCAGAGGTCAGAGGTCTGCAGAAAGCTTGCAAAACACAGACAGTAACAAGGCCAGCAGCTTCTTTGTGTTCAGCTCTATGAGTGTTACAAAACACACACACTCTCTCACACACACACACACACACAGAAGGAACCAAGTCCAATGTACATGTGTAAGATTTGGCGGGAAACTGAGGTCAATGTTGTAATGTGGACTAAAGCTGTGCAATATATTATACATGACCATTCATAAGTTTTTGGGTTAGTAAGTTTTTGTTTGTTTGTTTTTAAATAAATTTCTACTTTTATTCATTAAGGACGCATAAAAAGTACAGACATTTATAATGTTACAAAATATTTCTATTTCAAATAAATGCTGTTCTTTTGAACTTTCTATTCATCTGTGAATCCTGAGAAATAAAATGTAACACGGTTTCCACAAAAATATTGTGCGGCACACCTGTGTTCAACATTGATAATAATCAGAAATGTCTCTCGAGCAGCAGATCAGCATATTATACTGATTTCTGAAGATCATGTGGCACTGAAGACTGGAGGAATGATGCTGAAAATACAGCTGCACATCACAGAAATACATTACACTTTAACAGATATTCACACAGAAAACAGTTGTTTTACATTGTTATAATATTTCATATTTTTACTGTATATTTGATCAAGTAAATGCAGCCTCGGTGAGATAAAACATTGTGCAGTTGAGTTTGATGAAGTGCAGCTGTATTTAATCTCAGTTGTGTGTTAAACACACTGAAGCTTCTGTGTCGTTGAGAGAGAGAGGTTGATGCCTGCTGTGTAATGTTGTATGAGCAGGTGGTGTTTATTTGCCTTTTAAACCAACATGTGGCTCAAAGTCCCATCATGCACCTGGCCACCAGCCAACCAATCAGCTTCTGTTTTTGCTGCTGTATCTGTAAAACAATATATAAATGACCAGTGTTATAATTAGCTATTCTTCATCTACCACTGTATTTGTATATATCTTTCTTTATATTTAATATAAATGAATAATTTACTATCTATCTATCTATCTATCTATCTATCTATCTATCTATCTATCTGTCTATCGCTCTCTACGCACACACACACACACACACACATATATATATATATATATATTCTGGAGGACTGAATTCAGTTTATACAGAAAATATATATATTTGTTTTCTATATATATATATATATATATATGTGTGTGTGTGTCTAACCCTGAAAAGACATGCAAAGTCATTAACAAGTGTGTGTCTTTGTGTGTGAACTCACACAGATGGTGTTTGACTCACAGCTGTGAGATTAAATGGACCCCCAACACCACAAAACGGACGCACACGCACACACACACACACACACACGCTCACACTCTCTCACACACACGCACACACACGCTCACACACACACACTCACACACGCACGCTCACACACACACAGTGTAGAAAGAACAAGATAATCACACACACGTTTGAATGCAGAAAAAATAGATAGGCTGTGTGTGTGTGTGTGTGTGTGTGTGTATTCTTGTCTGTTTTCTTTAGTTGCCCGTGACATTCTGCTGTCACATACACTTCCTAGGTCAGAGGTCACGTCTGACTGAATTAGCGCTTCTATTTACAGTCTGTTAATTGGCCTGTGAAAAACTCTGTCAGTAACTTGTGGGTTTTGGCCATGATAATACCTATATGTATTTTGTAAGATGTTTTAATGTTTTTGAAAGAGTCTCTTCTGCTCACCAAGGCTGCGTTAATACTGTAAAAATTGTGAAATATTTTTATGATTTAAACTAGCTGCTTTCTGTATTTTTCAGCATCATTCCTCCAGTCTTCAGTGTCACATGATCTTCAGAAATCAGTATAATATGCTGATCTGCTGCTCAAGAAACATTTCTGATTATCATCAATGTTGAGAACAGTCACGCCGCACAATATCTTTGTGGAAACTGATGCATTTTATTTTTCAGGATTCACAGATGAACAGAAAGTTCAGCATTCACTTCAAATAGAAATCTTTAGTATCATTATAAATGCCTTTACTGTCACTTTTGATCCATTTAAAGCGTCCTTGAGGAATAACAGTGCTGCTACTTTTTCTCTGGCTGTGTTTTAATGTCATCTGCTCAGTCTCTAGTTGCTCAGGTGTGACTTCTGCGTCTGGATCCGTTCGCTCTCTCGTTGTTCCCAACCTCAACATTCCGGGCCAAATCCCAACACTTCCACAAAAACACAACAATAGCGCTTCCTCTGATCCCAGGCCTGTAGAGCGGGAATGAATCCAGCCTATCAGAGCCCTGGAGAAACCGGCTCCAGATGATATTTCCTACAGGATTGTTGTCCGATTTAAAGTGACTAATCGCATTTCTGTTAATGGAGAAGTACGTTTAATAGACTTCCGGAAGAATAAAACACAAAACATTGATCTGTTTTAATAAGCGGCCTGATATATCAACAACTGGCTCGACCAATGGTGTGAGTTTGGGGGCGGGACTATCTGCTTGACTGACCAATAGCAGACTGTCACTACCTCATAATACATCTTCCCAGCAGCAGATAAATTAAAGTTCATCCCTCTAATAACAGTGATGTTCACTCTTTTAGATGCTACAGAACCCCTACTTAAAATTTAAAAGGCATCTATATAGTTTATTGTGTAAAGACCTCATTTATACTGTGAAACCTTAATATTATAAACGTCAAAATATTTAGTTTATTTAGAGTTATAGATTTATTTTTCTGTGCATTATTATAGTACTAGTATAGTAACAATAAATAATACCTTGTTTTTAGATGCATTATTTATTTACGTATTTATATTATTGTTAACTTATTTTAATATTTATAATATTTTACATGTATTTATTTTATGAAGTGTTTAATTTTTTATGTTTTATTTACTAATTTATTTAGCTTATTTTAATCTTATTATTTAAATCTATTATTTATTTATTCATATATTTAGTCTTATTTTCATTTATTTATTTAAACATTTTTATATATTAACGTGCATTTATTTATGTTTAAATCTATTTTTGTTAATTTATATTCTGCATTAATTTAGTATTTTAAATTCATTTGTTTATTTATTTTAATTGTGTTTATATATATAGTACATATTTACTGATTTATTTACTAATTTCTACTGTTTTAATTCCTGTTTGCATTTTTATTATTTCTTTTATTATGTTTTTATTTAAATGCATTATTAAATTGCATTTATTTATATTATTTATTTACTTATTTTAATCTATTTTTATGTATTTTAGTCTAATTTGTATTTATTTAAATCCATTCTTTTTTTATTTTTTATGTACTTTTCATTTTGCGATTTTTTATTTTTATTTTTTATATTTACTTATTTTAATACATTTAGCATTTCTTCATTTGAATAAATTTTTTAAAATTATTTTAATCTAAATATTTATTTATAAAGAATTCTTCTTGTTATAACATCTATCACTTTACAAAGTTAGAAAAACAACAACAAACATAAAAGACAAATAAGAAACATCTATAACACCGTGCACACTCTTAAAAAATGCTGGGTAAAATATGGACAAAGCCAGCGATTGGCTTACATTTAACCCAACATTTAACCCAACATTTGGTTGAAAACAACCCAATCGCTGAGTTTGTCCATATTTTACCCAGCGCTGGGTTGCATTTAACCCAGCATTTTTTAAGAGTGCATGATCACAGTGGCAGTGTGCTTGTCTCTCTGCAGGCGTGATGAAGGACTACCTCCGTGAGCTTCCTCATCCTCTCATCACCAAGCCACTATACGAGTGTGTTCTGGACTCGATGGCCAAGAGGCCACTGCAGATGGGAAGCGGCGGCTGCGAGAACGACCCGGCCGACTCGGATCACGCCGTCAGTTTGCTGGAGATCCTGCCGGAGGTTGAGAAGGTACGGGAAGGTTCTGGAGGGGAACCGTCTCGGCCGTTGTCCTGTTTCTGATCTCTCACACGCGTGTGTTTGTGCTCAGGCGACCCTGCAGAAGCTTCTGGATCACCTGAAGCGTGTGGCGTCCCATCACGAGGTGAATAAAATGACCTGTCAGAACCTGGCGGTGTGTTTCGGGCCGGTTCTGCTCAGCCAGAGACAGGAGGCGTCCTGCCACGGGAACCGGGTCTTCATCGACTCCGAGGAGCTTGCCAGCGCTTTGCACTTCAAGAAACACATCGAGGTCCTTCATTACCTGCTCCAGCTCTGGCCAGGTGAGACATGCACCATTTCACTAGAGTTCATCACCCTCCTATGGATTTATTATTTATTTAGCCATTTAGCTGATGCTTTTATCCAAAGCGACTTACAAATGAGGACGATAGAAGCAATCAGATCCAACAGAAGAGCAATGATATGCAAGTGCTATGACAAGTCTCAGTTAGCCTACATGTAGCAAGTTTATATATATATATATATATACACACTGAACAAAATTATAAACGCAACACTTTTGTTTTTGCCCCCATTTTTCATGAGCTGAACTCAAAGATCTAAGACTTTTTCTATGTACATAAAAGGCCTATTTCTCTCAAATTTTATTCACAAATCTGTCTAAATCTGTGTTAGTGAGCACTTCTCCTTTGCCGAGATAATCCATCCACCTCACAGGTGTGGCATGTCAAGATGCTGATTAGACAGCGTGATTATTGCACAGGTGTGCCTTAGGCTGGCCACAATAAAAGGCCACTCTAAAATGTGCTGTTTTACTGTATTGGGGGGTTCGGGGGGTTCAGTATCTGGTGTGACCACATTTGCCTCACGCAGTGCAACACATCTCCTTCGCATAGAGTTGCTCAGGTTGTTGATTGTGGCCTGTGGAATGTTGGTCCACTCCTCTTCAATGGCTGTGCGAAGTTGCTGGATATTGGCAGGAACTGGAACGCGCTGTTATATACGCCGATCCAGAGCATCCCAAACATGCTCAATGGGTGACATGTCCGGTGAGTATGCTGGCCATGCAAGAACTGGGATGTTTTCAGCTTCCAGGAATTGTGTACAGA